ATAGTCATTGGGGCTGACTCCAAACATGAGAAATAACCCTGGAGGCCTGAAACAGTTCTCTGGTGTCAGAATGCTTCACCAGAAAAATAAGAAAGCAAGCAGGCCTGACTAGGCCAGCTAGCTGATGTCAGCTAGTGAGGGAACAGTGGGCATAGTCTTGACCCAGAACAGAATAAGCACAGCAGCTGCAATATGCATGTGAATAATTCCTGTGAGATCTAAAACACAGTCCCATGCACTAAAGATACTATAGTAGGGTTGGATTAGTAAGTACCACAGTAGAGTATTTAAATACCATATTGTATGAGTAGAATACAAGTTTTTGACCCTCACAGTTGTGGTGTATTGGGCACAGAAAGCCTTGCACCCTAGCTCTGGGTTTGTGTTTGCAACTTTGAGTGAGAGAATAAACTTGTTATTGAAATAGTTAAGAGAGACTTGAGAACTGAGCAAGGTACAGAAGCTTGCATGAGACTTGAGTTCAATTTGATAAGAGGTTTTGAATTGCACTCTAGCCTGAGAATAAGAGAGCAGTGTCTGAAGGGCACTATCTTGAGTTTTTGAGGTATTTGTGATGCACAGCACTACAGGTGGCAGAGGTTCAAACCCTTTGGGTCTGTCAGACAGCATTTATTGTGTTTTGTGTCTCTGGATCACATAGGTTTGAATTCTGTGGGTCTACAATCAGTTTGGAAGCTTGTGTACAGAGATCTGAACTCTTTAGCACTTGTGAATGTGTCTGTGATTGGTTTCTGCTTAGAGTGCTAAGCTTTGAGTCATGTATTGTGTATGTTAGGGATTTTGATTTGATCTGAGCTATGCTTGGAACCTTTTTGAGAGTTGTGGGATTGTTTCAATGTATTGTATTGAGCTACAGTACCTTTGCCTTGAAGCCCAGCAACATCTGTTGCCACCTCTTGTTTTGAGTGAAAAGCTTTGAGACTTAGAGAGATCTAGGACTGTTATATGCATACTATTGCTATTCACACACTGTGGATTCATTGGAGAAAACAATTAGATTTGCTGTTACTACTTTTATCACATTATAATCTCTCCATGAACTAAGAGTATTGTGTGTGTGTTGGTGTGGGTGTGATCAGTGGATAGCACTCTGATATATCCATTTTCCCCTTGCATGCATGCAAGATCTCTTCAATGGACCAGAGTCAAACCAGTGGATGTTATGATTTCTCTATATCTTTTTTTTTTCCTTATCTTATCAGGTGCTTATCTTATCCTGGGCACTTTCTTGAAGAGCACCAGAATATTAGGTAATCACAACAGCAGGCAAGCACCATTGTCTCCAGTTGTCTCACCCACAGACAATTCTCCATTGTCATAGCCCTGATGATCAGGCAGGATCAGCATTGTATCCTAGAACCATACAATAGGCAATAATTATATTTATAACAGACAGAACAGTATATAAGTAGGATAGCTTACACTGTAGTAGTCCAGCTTTGAGTTACAAGTTTATTCTATACATTCACACTTGAGCTGATTCATCTTTGGCCTTATAGCACTTGCCAGCCTAGCATAATAGTGGACTCAGATGTGACTATACAAATACAATACAGCATCTGTTTATCATGTGTTATTGGTTATATATAACTTGGGCTTAACAGTGGGTGCATGAACAGGACATGAATACTGATACAGCAATTTATGACTATAAATTATCCCTTAACTGAGCCATCAGAATAATAGTCTTAAGGAGAGGGTAATGTTATGATTTTTCTGCTTTTCTTATCTTATTCTATCTTATCTTATCAGATGTCTATCTTATTACAGGGCACTTAGAATTGTGGGATGATCACCACATGATAGAGATGGGCACAATAGACAAGCCATGGCTATAACATCAAGGACATCTCAACAACAGACAATATCCATTTATTTTGTATCTGACAATCAGACAGTAGAGTGTCACAATGGAAAAGACTATAATAGTGTAGGACTATATTTATCCTTATAAACAGGTATATAAGTAGGATAGCTCTTACTGTACAATCCCAGCTCCAAGCCAAAGTTTTATCTATACCACTTGTCTCTCTTGAGCTTATTCTGTAATGCCCTGTTTGCACTGACTTGAACACAGTTAGTGGACTCTAGCATGACTGTATGAACTTGATACAGCACTAGTTTATCATGTGTTCCAGTCATATGTCAAGCAGGTCTAATATTGATTGCAAAGGCACTGGTGATGGGGAAATTTGCCCACACAGGGAATTTTGTGATTTGGCCCAGGCATATATCCTGAAATCAATAGTGACATGAGCTCTGTCAAGGCCATGCATGTCATAGGTAGGAAGGCAATCAAACCTAATGCTGCAGCCTAACACATGATTGTAGATGGAACCTCTAGAAATGATATTCATATCCATTGCTAGTGTCCACTATGGGCTATCAGCTTTGAGAGTGGCCAAGTGAGCTTGAACAATGGGAGTAGAGTGGATAGATGTGTGGTTTGGGAGAGCATATGACATCCACACTCATAAATGTGTAGTTAGCAAAAGAAGAGAATGGGAACAAGCAGATAACCTGTCAGTACTAGATCTTGACAGATGGGAGAATGAAAGCAGAGAGATTTTGTACAGGTGGATGTTCTGATGCCCAGAGATGACAAAAAGAGATCTCAGTTAAGATGAGATCAGGAGGACATCATTGACATTTCTACAACACAGCACTAGAAAATCCAGCCTGGTATGATATCAGACCTGTGCATCTGTCTGTATTTTTCCTGATTGTACTGAATTTTCTAGCCTGGACAAGAGAGACATATGGATCTGTCCCCCTGCTAGGCATACCAACAGAGACTAACAAGGAGCATGAAGAATTATCAACTCCTCATGTTATAGATGCTACACAGATGCAATACCTGCTTCTATTTTTACAACATTGCTTCCAAGATCCACATTCAAAAGTCTGCTGCCCCTCAGAGCTTTACATCCTTGTTCAATCCTTGCCTGTGCCACAGGCTGAGTCATGGCATCCCAAAGCTATGTGGTTAGTCACTTTGATACCATTGGTATCAAAGTTCTATATGATTGGTGGAAAGTGATGTACCTTGTCCTCTGTGCCTCGCAAAGTTAGCAATTGAATTTTTCTTGCTGGTTTCTTGAGATAAGTAAGTACTAAGTCACGGAACCCGGACCGGAGAACTGAAGTTCGTTTGTTGATCAGGTTTTTTTTTCCAGGTTCGGACTATCGACCATCATTCTTCACGCGTCTCTAGTCCTGAATTTGGTACCTGCTTGCCTGGCTCCTTGTCTTCGATTCTGTCTTTAGTCTGGTACGTTTACTGTCTTATTTTTTATTGATCTCTCTAATTAATGTACACCAGTTATTGAAAGTCAAAGTGCCTTTCCAAGCACCACCACTGAATGCTGTCCTTCCTCGACTAAGGCTCTCAGCGCTGGAAGGGGTATAGAACGTAACATGTACCAAGAGCGAACCTGCAACGGCTTCTGTCATTACCTACATTCATTGATGGCTCGGATTCCGAATCGGAACTCAGTATAACCACCACGGAGCTCAAGCCCTTCATATATCGTCTAGACGACGAATTATTTAACAGTGGCAGCCTGACTGCGTAGACGCTTTGTTATTCCTAAACAATCACGGTACCTCTACTCTGGTTTTCCGAGCCTGGCATTCAGGCCCATGCCTGCTTGTAGTACGCGTTTCGGAGTTTAAGATCCGTATCATCATTGTAGCTGGGCTTCTTCTCCATGGAGAAAGACTTATGGCATCTTTGTCGATCTTTCAATAACCTAAATCCACAAGCCCACCTCTCTCCGACTTCTGTTCTGTCGGCTGTCTTTCATTGATCACAGAGCCTCTTCCCTCTGCTCTAGACTTGCACGGCGACGGACTTGAGATGGTATGTTTATCAACTGACATGCTCTCGTGGTAACATTCTCATGCAATTTAGTATATCTGCCGTGTGTTGTTCAGGTAACATCTTTTTGATTAATATATTTCATCTTCTAACTAGATTTTTTTTCTCCATTATTGTCATTTATACGGCACGGTTTTCTGACAGTCCATCTCTATAATTTTTTCTTAGCGAATCGGCGTCTTCTTGCCGACGCTTGGTGCCCTTGCTACTATTGGAGGCACATGTCCCGTCATGCCATTGTTCACCGGCAGGCGGTAATGTTCCCAGAAGACGGCTAATGTATGTTATAGTGTGTGTCCTTCTTTGTTTGCAATTTTTTCAGCTATCCAACGACATACGACAAGGATTCAAATTTCAGGTTCCAAGTTCCAACCAAGTTCCAACTGGTCCCTTTCTCCGGGCAGAGGCGTGCCCATTCTATCAAACACTGGCCTCTTATACCGAGGGGATAAATTATGGTGTAATCAGGCCGATTAGTCGTGCACCCGCCAGAAGCTGTCTTTGATTTTTAAGGAACATCTGCCAGCTCGCCATGGACATTATATACTTCGTGGGTCGAGCACTAAACCACAGGCCGACGAAAGGACATAAGAATCTGACAGTAGGTGAATATTTTTGTCGTAGAGACTCCAAAGAGAATTTAAAAGAGGATACTATCTCCGTTCTGCCTTGTCGACAATTTCTCCGGCGAACATAACTGCGGCCTGCGGCGTCGCCATGCAACTCAGGATTGGGTGAGCCTCCTCATTGTAGAATTGCATATATCAGTTCCGTAGTAGGATATATCGCCAAAGTTTTGAACTACGTCGAACCTCTGGTCCCCTCTGGGAAATGGTCCAGGAAAAAGTACAAGTAGTTCTTAGATCGGCTTCCACAGTTACGCCCCTGTCCTTAATAAATAGACTAGCAGAACTTTTGTAGAGTACACATAGAATTTTACCGGTGCTGTACCTATCCCGCCACTGCGATTTCGCAGAGCGAATGTCAATTTAATGAAGTGAATGTATCATAGACAATACATAGGAAATCCCGTTTCAAGCATCCGCCGCTATTATGACACGTAAAGTAAGATCCGAGATTCGAGCGTAGCGGGTATCATTCAATCATAGAAATTTCCTTGGATGCGAGGCAGGAAAAAAATAGCGGCACCAAATTCCGTATACTTGGTTCGCTCCCAACTCTCAAACTTCATGGTCGCACTAGATGAAATATAGCCCTGCGCCTCCAGATCTCCAAGAATAATAGCACACCAGTGCCTGCATCCCAAACCGCCAGTGAACCTGCGTTCTGATGAATAATGAAGCCGATTAACATGTAAACAACCAACGCACCGGTATTGGTCTCTCTTGAGAGTGTCAAATAATACGTTGAAGATTTTCCACACCTTCGTTGAGGCCTTGAGTTTGACTTCGAAGGCGTCGGTGGATGGGGGAGTTTGCCCAGACGAGGCATTTTGGGATTTAGTCCAAGTGTAAGGCTTAAAGTCAATGGTGACACGAGCCTTGTCTGGATCATCTGCGTCATAGGTAGGATGGCAATCGAAGCTAACACTGCAGCTTAGCGCGCGATTGTAGAGGAAAATTTGGAAGTGATATCCGTGTCCATTACTGGTGCCGACGATGGCAATGCCATCGACTTCGAGAGTAGTCAATTGAGGATGAAAGCTCTGAGTAGGGTGGATTGATGCACGGTTTGGGAGAGTGTACGACATTCTGGCTCATAAATGTGTCGTCAGCAGGAGAAAAGAAGGGGAAAAATCATCACCTAACCTGTCAGCAATAGATCCTGAAAGATGTGGAGAAGGAAAGCAGAGGAATTTTGTATAGGGGGGTATCCGGACGCACGGAACGGAGAGGACAAAAAGGATCTTGGGTGGGATAACGTCAGGAGGACACCATTGACGTCCCAACATCACGGCGCTAAAAACTCAGGGCTGGTCTGATATCGGGCCTGTGGACTATATTCGCTGGATTGTTAATGATTTTTAGGCCTGGACACGACAGACGTGTCACGTGTGGATCTATACCTCCGCTATGCATACCGCTTGAGATGATGAAAATTTAACAGATACTAAGGGAAATACGAAGAATTAGTAACTCCTCGTGTTTATAATTTCGACACAAGCGCAGTACTCACCCTACTTTGTACGATATCCCCAACCTGCGTGGTTAGCAATTTTGATAACATTGGTATTCCATTTCGATACATTTGGTGGAAATCGCGATGCAGCTCGTCCTCTACGGCTCAAAAAGCCAGTTTCTTGGCGGTCATTGCTTTCCTGGTAACAGAACCCGGACCGGAGAACCGAGGTTTAGTCACCCCTGTTATTTGTTGATTTGGGATTTTTTTTCGAGTTCGGATCGTCGACCATCATTAATTTCTTCACGCGTCTGGTTATCTGCTCGCTTGAATGCTTGTCCCCAATTTTCTCTTTGATCTCGTATTCTTTATTGATCCCTCTAACTGACGTGGACCGGCCTTGAAAATCAAAGTTGAACGGTGGTATGTTCGCCTTGCTAAACACCTCTGCCCACCACCATTGATTGGCATCCTTCCTCGACCAAGATGTACTCAGTAGGGGTGATATGGAACTGAGCATGTATCCGGAGCGAGCCAACGACGGCTTCTGTTATTACATTCGTTGATGGTCCGGAATCCCGTCGGAACTGAGTATAACCATCCTGGAGGTCAAGCGTTTAACAAATCATCTAGATGATGCAACATTTGAAAAATTCTGGGCATCCCTTACTATCTTCCAATATCCTAAACTCGTACGCGCACCTCTTCGACTTCTATTGGGATTATTATCTATAATCCAGGCTCAGCCCTTTTTCATCGATCACGGCGTTTCTGATCTCTGCTCTGGACCTGCAGGGTAATGGCCTTCAGTTGGAATCTTTATCAACTGACACTCTCGTGGTAACATTCTTATGCAAATCATCATCTCTCCCGTGTGACATTCAGATAACATAGTACGTTAATTAATATATTCCATCTCTTTCAATGCCAAGAACTGGAAATTTTCTCCTCCGTTATATTATCATTCATACGGCATGCATTTTTATTGTTGACGGGCGCCATAATTTTGTATTGGAAAATCGGCGTCTTCTCGCCGACCCCTTGCGCGCTTACCGCTATTGGAGGCACATGTCATGTCATGTTATTGTTCACCAGCAGGCGGCAATGCTCTCAGAAGACGACTTAATGTATGATATAGGTAAGGCTAGGTCACATTCAGCGATGCCCAACTACCCTGTTTTATTCATTTTCAACGTGTCTTGGTCCGTGTGTTCCGGATCTTGTTTCAGTGGGAATCCCCCTGCCCTTACCTAGGCAATGGTGTCTCTGGTTCTCGTTCTGAATCGGATATATTGAGATTTGCGGCCTGCTCCCCATCTACGTACCCGCTGAGCTGCAATGGATCTGGTTTTCTACAGTTTCTCTCTAGAAGCTTAGGCTTGCCAACTTTACTCTTTCGCAACCGATTTCTGTGTGTTTGCTTCGCTGTTATGGTCATATTCCTGGTTCTCTGTTCAGAAACCATTTCTGCTGGGAATATCCAAAGGGCGAGTTGTCAGGACGTCTGTCGTGCATGTTTGTTTCCATAATATCATCACCATCGGTGCCTCTGGCCAGCGGGGATGTCATGTCCTCCGCCATGGAATGGACGGTTTCCACGCTACTGACAAGTACGTGAAGCATGACTATCAGAAAATGACCCTTCATACTGGTATCCAGTTCCGGCCTCAGCGGATTAATATAGCTCCTGCCGTTTGTTACATCTGGTAAAGTCTTAATTGAAGAATGGGATGGACCATCTCTGGATCGATGAGTATGTTCGAGCCTAGATTTCCTAATACTCTCTGGTCCCTACTGCTGCAGGATCATCTTCAGTAGCCACCAACGACATGACATACATAATGAATCATGATAGATGAACTACGTACAATGCGACATCGGTTCATTACGTCTCAGGATGACATCAATAGGATCGCGGCTCAGATGGATGTGGGGGTGTGGGGCACAAGTGGGGGAAAGGATATAGAGTGCACTCAGCCAATCCAAAGGAGTAACGGTACCACAGTGCATCGATCTATCCGAAGTGAACACCGGCAAAGCCTCATGGAATATGCTAAGAGAAGAGTCACGTTGACGATGTGTTGTTCATGCTTGATCCCGTCCGCTACGAAGCTCAAAAATATCTTGTCATGGGAAGGCGCTTATGTCGGATTAGAAACCAGACAAGAGTCCACTTGTAGAGGTTCGAATTGAAGCTGTGACGTGGCGCACGGTGGCAGGGCCTGGGCTGCGGGAAGCCGAAGGGTACAGCTTTTCAGACTCGGTAAGCCTAGCTATCAGTAACAATGATATTTCAACAGGTTCCGCCAATGTTCGTAAGTATTCTACCCTAGATAGGAACTACAAGTAAAAAAAAAAAAGCTGTTATATTCTTTTATACAGATCCTTAGCAGAGCATTTTCTAGCATTCATCCTACAGCCTTTCGTTCTTTCACATCGAAAGCTTGGGGATGTCGCATCCTTAGTATGTCTCCTGTTTAGGCCTCGAATCCTGCTCACATATAAACGATATTTCGGATAGCAGCATGACCCTATCAAGCATCTCACCGACTCATAATCAAGCTATGGACAGAGTGTCCTAAAATCGACGCCAACACATTTTAGACGTTCTTAGACTTCCCGAATTCAGGAAATGTCGCGTCCATTGGATTCGGCATGGCTGTCAAACGTTTTCCAGGCGCCCAAGAGGCGCGGGCCATGGAACTTGTCCGAAATGAAACAGCTATTCCCGTCCCGCCATGTTATCGCTTCACCGACTCAGTTTCTCCTCACGACCTAGCTATGGCTCTTATCGAGGGACAAACTGTCGCATCTGTGTGGGACAAACTCGGACTTTGAATGCGCTTTCGCATGGCATTACGTACACCAGTTCCGCAGCATCACTAGTTGAAAATCCTCATTTGTGCAAATTTCCCGGTCCCTTCGGAGGAGCGGGACCGGCAAGATGTACAGGTAGTTTTTTGTTTTGTTTTCAGCATTTGGTTAACCGCAACAAGTAAGCTAACTACTCAGATGCGGTGGAGGTACAGGTCCTCAGGATCCTCTCTCCCTCTTGTTCCGGTCCCTCCGGTCTTCCTTCCAAGTTCCCCCGGTGTTTTGGCATGTAATGTGGAGTAGAGTAACGGACATGTATAGTACTTTGCGCCCCCGTGGTGGGGCTAATTGATTAGTTTGATTCTGCGGTTGGCCGAAGCCGTGGGGTGCTTTGCGAGCATGTTTTGGGTGCCGGCTGGGTTGGTCATGATTTACAGATAGTCTCTTCGACAATTCTGGTGCAGGTCCACTCCGATCGTATGCCCGCATGGCGTCGTGGTATCGCAACAGGTTACTTCTTATGCAAAGCTTTCATCCCAACTTCGAAGGTGTTCGGGATAATAGATCCAATTTTTGACAATACCCGGCCCCTGGTGTTTACTCACCAGGCCTTGCATATACTAAACTTGGTAACTCGAAAAGGACGGGCAGCTTTGTGTGATAGACTGGGATGCCGCTGGATTTTATCCTGAATGGTCTGAGGGTGCAAATATGAGGGAAGTGTACCGTTTGCACGGGGATAGCGGGTCATGGAATAAGTTGAAATCTTGGATCCTTGGAGACTCTAATTCTCGAGGCCAATGGCCTTACGTTGATGCGATTCGATTTTCCCTGGTCTCGATAAGTGCTAATGTACCAGAGTTGGTAAGTGGTGTTCTCTCCGTCACTTCTTCCAGTAAATTTCGTCGCAAATTGGCATGGGAAACTTGTAAAAACAATGATAACATTCGAGTGTCTTATTAAATATACGGTACGAGTGACGTGTTTGTATTATATGCTGGCCATGGCGAACGGTTCCATGTTTCTAAACTTGCTCAGAGTTCGTCTAGACTTTTAATGGCAGTAGGTTCCACAACAGTGTTTCTACATAGCCAAAGCCGATCACAGATTATGCATGATTTCAATGGCGACACTGCGCCTAAGGGGATGAAGCAACTATACTATTACAATTCGCAAGTAACGGAGTCTTGTCGTTATGGTACATTCTGTAAGATACCAATTGGAACTTAGTGAGTGGAAAACTCAATTATAGAAAGCGCCTTCTACACGAGGATGGATGAAAGCGGCAACGCCAACCTCTCTGCACTTGGCTTGTTCCCATGCCTCAAACTGCACGGTAGTACCACGCGGAACATACCCGTACACCTCCAGATCACCGAGGATGATAGCACACCAATGTCTGCATCCCATACCACCATTGAATCTGCATTCTGATGAATGACGAAATCGATCGACATGTAACGACGCACCGATATTGGTCTCTCTTGAGAGTGTTGAATACTACGTTGCAGATCTTCCATACCTTTGTTGACGTCTGGAGTTTGACTTCGAAGGCGCCGGTGGATGGGGGAATTTGTCCGGGCGAGGTGTTTTGGGATTTGGCCCAGAGGTATGTCTTGAAATCAACGGCGACGCGAGCCCTGTCGGGATCAAGGGCCTCGTAGGTGGGATTACAATCGAAGCTAACGCTGCAGTCTAGCGCACGATTGTAGATGAAAGCCCGGAAATGATATATATGCCCATTGCTGGTGCCGACGATGGCGATACCATCGACTTCGAGAGTAGCCAAGTGAGCTTGAAGGTTGGGAGTAGATTGGATAGATGTACGGTTTGGGAGAGCATATGACATTATAGCCGTAAATTTGTAGTCAGCAGGAAAAAGACGGGATGAAGTAGCTCTAACCTGTTGGAGGTCCAAGGAGTCGACGATGGGGAAGGAGGGGTTTATATAATGGTTATACCTTCGATTGCATGGGAGAGAAAAAAAACATACCAGTTTGACGCCCAGGTTACATCTAGTACAGACGTACATAAGGTACAGGGTCATGAAACCGATGCTCGTAAAGCCGGATTGATCGAAATTGAGTTCAGACATAAATAATATGTTTGCTTGACAGCACTTCCGGAATTCCGAACATGAGAAAGGCGTGAATTGATACGCGCCACTTCGCCCATCGAGTTCTGTGACTCAAGAAAAGTGAAGATCAAATCAGCTGGTGTGCAAATCAGCTATTGATGCAAGCACAAGTGAAGGACTCGTTCAGTTGCCTTCCTTGGATCAAGATTTGTGTTCGAAACAAACTTTACGTCCTTGATGATTCGGAGTGGTGAGTCATGGCACTAGGCGCAGGCACAGATATTATGACGGCTAGGATATGTTTTATGTTCAACTTTTCAATTCCATCTCACGGTGTAAATTACCATCACCATACCTCGGGTGCTGTTTAAAGCTGATATCCAATCATGTGAAGCGGAATACTAATGTATCCCCATACCGTCAGAGTGGCAGGTTGTGCAGGATTCCAGTGCGTAACTCCCGCTGTTCTTGAGCCTTCACACATACCAGCGCAATATATCTTGCCCCGGAATATCAATGTGAGCAATCAGGCGTGAACGGGAAAAGAACAGGAAATTATTGATGTCGCGTATCAGAGAGGAGTACCCACATTCGTCGCGATGCGGGTCCTTCGCCTTTTCACAATTTCGTCTGATATGGGGACCAGTCTTCGGTTCCGCGGCAGAGGCTACACTAGAGGAACCATGGATAGGAATAGTGAACTATCGTTGATCGCCGAACACTGCTCGGTGGCAGGGAATGAATAAGAACTTGAAGCGTCGGGAAGACATGACTTAAGGGGGAGTTGTCATTGAACAGTGTTATTGGGGCGGACATATGTTGGCAGTCACACATGGAGAAGCCTTGATGAGGCTAGGCTAGCAAGACATTGTAGATCTTTCTTTTACTCCGCCTCTTGAGCATGGTCCCTCAGCAGACTTCAAGTTGAAATACAAGTGCTGAAGATGGATTTTACGGATGATATTTGGTATGAATTGACAGTCTCCGTCAGGAACCAGTGCGCAAAAGATAGGGTTCAGTACCTATGCTAATGTAGAGTGCTGATTAAAGAGGCCTGAAGAGGTCTAGCATGTCCGAAAAAATTGAAGATGCCAAGAAGATGCAGAATCAAGACAGAACTTAGCAGATGAACCAGGCGTCATGAACTCCTAGGCTACAGAATTAGCTGCATCAAGAATCGCGAAGGAGTCTGGTTGCCGGGTTCCGGCTGTTAGTTAGAATTCGGGCTCAGCCGGCTAGTGCCGTATCTGTCGTAGCAGTGTCCAACAAGTGTCTACAAAGATGTCCGTAAATTCCGTGGATTACTGGGTTAGAAGTCATCATGCTCAAATGTTCCATGATATAGGTCCCTAATGGAGTCTATTCTGGCGTTTATTCTCCAGCCAATCATCCTCTCTGAGCGGGGTGGCGACACCTTAGCAGTGCATTCCCAGTCTGCAATTCTGTTCTTTGCTCATACGTCCTTCTTGTTACTTTAGAGTTAGAAAAATCCTGTAGAACATCTGAACTTCTCGGACATAATGAAGCTTTGGGACGACTCGATCAAAATCGATGCTGACACCTTCATAACCCTCACCGGTCGCACAAACATCGGGAGAATTGCACCTCCATTGGCTTCGACACTGTCGTCAAAATCTAGGCACCAGTCCAAGAGTATCGAGCCATGGAACTAGTCCGTCGAGCCCAGTTCCTGCATGCTATGGCTTCGAAGGAAAGACCAGATGACGGTGTAACAGTTGACTCTGTGGGACCGACTCGGGCTATGGATCCGGATCTGTATCGTGGTATCGCTCTGACATTACATGCACCAGCTTCGGAGGATACCCTACCGGAATCCCCAGCTATGTCGCTTTCCAGGTCCTCTCGGGCTGTGGAACCGCTTCTTCACCGATCCTGCTGGGCCATTCCGGTTTTATGCTCATATGGCAGCGTGGTACCGAAACAGGCTGCTTGTTATGCAGATCTACTGTCCCCTTAATGAGGAATCTAAGAAAGCAGATCCCTACTTTGACGACAGTAAACCGTTGGTATTTACCCACTAGGACTTGCACATGCGGAACTTGATGCCGGGGAAAAATAGGCGGCTCTGCGTGATTGACCGGGCTGAAGCGGGGTTCTATCCTCAGTGGTTTGAAGGGCATTAACATGAAGCAGTTTTTCCGCGAACAGGGGGATAGTGGAAAATAGAATAGACTGGGCCCGCGGATCTTTGGAGACTATGAGAGTCGGGGACAGTATCCTTACATTGAAGCTATTCGACATGCACTTGTCATGTTGAGGAACGAGATAATAGATCTGGTAAACCAGCTTATTCGTTGCTATCCTCTCCCGGAGTAACTTCGTCGAAGGTGAGCATGGATAAGTCGCGTATAGCCGTGACTGGTACTCCTTGTTCAACTTCCTTATGTCTTTACCTGGCTGGCATCAGTAATGGTCACATTCTCGCTTGGAGGCTGCTATGTACGGACTACCTGTGGTCTTGTCTCCCCAGACTAGTGTTTTCTTTCATCGACAATGTTACGCTTTCACGTCTATTTACGTCTCCCTGTCAATCTATTTCGAACCTCGCTCGATTGATCATCAGGATGTATAGTCCTATTCTTGGCAGTCATTATTTATAGCCACTGTGGACCCGCTCATCAGAATGAGCCCAGATTCCGTAGAAACGGAAGACCCACATATCTCCGAAACATAAAGGTCCTCATCTACAATCCCGTTACCAGCCAAAGCATTTTCTGGTGAGGATCTCTTAAAGAGTTAGCCGCGGCCGCCGTTGCAATGTTAACAGATATTCTTCTTCTTAGAGCAGAAGACTACTAGCTTTTCATTGGGCCTGTTTTCAACCAGACTGCGCACCCACCTGTCTGAAAATGGAGCAACTCGTTTATCTATCCGACCTCCGCCAAAAATCGGTAGCAGATTTCTGTTTTTTCTTCCCATTTAGAATACTGGCGGAGGGTTTTTAGGACTGGACAGCCATCTGCTCCATTGTGAAAGTTAAAGACGCCGAAGGGCATTATGGACTTGAGTCACCTGCATAGATCGTACCTACGCGGTCAACGTGCTTGTGCATTGAACACCAATGAACAGCCGCATTGCTCGCTTCGCAATTGTTTCTGTGAGAAATAAATCAGTAGAAGCGCACATGCGCTAACGCCACGATATGACTGGTCAACATCCACCATCATAGAAGGAAAAATAGAACATATCCTGGCGTATATAATGCAGTAGAAACTTGCAGTCTTCCTTCCACCGAGCGGCGAAAATCCAACATGTCCACGTGCACTATGTCGGCCCGCTGGTTCCGCAGCTTGGTATTCCTCCTCGTTAACTTCACTCTCCTCTCGCTCTCGCAAGACATGTCTACCGACAGTACTCCCACCAGCTTGCGTTTTTCCACGTACAATCTCCGATATGATTCGATGCCTGACAACATTACCGTGGCGGAATCGATCGCTGCTTTGCCCGATCCCCTTGTGCAGGAGACGTTTTTGGCGTTGTCGGGGGAGCAGCCGTGGAGTGCAAGGAGGCTGCGCGTTTCGGAACATATATTGAGTGAGGATACCGTCATCTCTGGATTCCAGGAGGCACTGGTGAGGCAAGTAACAGACTTGGCGGAGCTTTTTGGTGATGACTGGGATTGGGTAAGACTTTATTTTTGTAGTGTTGTGTTTGGCTGACATGTCAGTAGGTTGGTGTTGGACGCGACGATGGGGTGGCGGCTGGGGAGTTTAGTCCTTTGTTCTACAAGAAGTGAGTCTAGGAAAGACAGAAGAGATGATCTGTACTCATCAGGATACTAAGGTCTGCCGTCAAACTGATTTCGAATGATACCTTTTGGCTCTCGTATGTTCATCGTCTTCTGTTCGTAACCTTGGCTTATGTTTGACAGATTGACTCCCTTCGAACCCTCCAAATACCCTGGAGCAGGCTCGTTCCGAATATGTACTGTGGCAAACTTCAGCTTGACAACGGACGCCAAGACAACGTTCACGGTATTGAACACGCATCTCGATGACCAATCGGATATGCAGCGGAGAGTCGGGGCGTCCTTGATCTTGACGAGAGCGCGGTATGAAGCCGTGAAGACGCGTAGCCCGGTGTTTGTTACAGGCGATTTCAACAGGTAAGTGGGATATTCCGAGGCTGTCAGAGCGCGTCAGTGACTTTGAATATAGTCCTTCGACGGGTAATAGTTCTGGTGCCTATGAAATCATCACTGGAGCAAGCGCACCCGTTGCTATTAACGCGACATTTGCAGCAAAGTACGACGTCGGGAATCAGCTGTCTGATTTCAAGATGCTCGACTTTCGGGGTCAGGCGCCGAGACAGTATGTCTCTAATAATTTTGCGACATACACCGGGTTCAATTTACCGACTGACACCTCTGATTGGGAGAGAATCGATTTCATCTTTGGAGGAAGTAACTTGGGGTGGTGGGTGACTTTCCGTTCCAGAATTGATAATTTGGTTAATGTTTCGCAGGACGTCGGACGCGTACAAAGTTGGAAGTTCGCTGTCGGATGATGGAACTTTGGCGAGCGATCATCGGCCTGTGTTCGCAGATGTAACTATCTGAACTGACCCTGTGATGATACGATGAAAAATGTGACGGTCTATAGCGTTAATCTGATTGGACTTTGATACTAGGATATTGTGATGGCGGAGAGAGATATGTGCCGTGATGGCCCATTTTCCTGGCGAAATCAGGATACAGGAAACATACTATTGCTAGTATGCCTCTTTGAGGGAAGAAAGAGATCCTCTGAGCCCTCGCTCGTAGGCATGGTTGAGGGAGGGAAGGAAGATTGGGAGCGGGAGGGCGGCGTTCGACGCGTTCTGGAAGGGGCTATGACGCGTCGAACCAGCAACGACGCATCGACCAGCAATAATGACGCACCGTCGCCGAAGTGATGCCGAAGCAGCCGAGTTGCAGTAGGCCACAGCAAGACGTAATTGGGTGACAGCGTGAACGACATGGCTCTGACGTCAAACTTGCTTGCTGAGGATATGATGAAATACTAGCTGTAAGCTCGCCTATGCTAGCAAATAGCGTGCTCTCCTTAATTCTCATAATACACTATTGATTTGCTATAATACAGTCCTGACTGAGAAGGAGGATGTTTACTCTTCTGAATCTTTCACTCTTGTCACTCTTTCAGAAAATACCAATGGAATACACGATGCATGATGAGGAACGACCAAATCATTCTGATTTGCACAGTTCCTAACATGTGTGTGAAGATGTGCTGAGAATCTTTAGAAAAAACACGCACTGGTTCATCCCTGAGGTACGCAACGCAATCTGATGATTGGTCCATGTCCGAGTCAGCCGTACTGGAATGGGTGGCTGTCTCCAGCGAAGAATCTCTGTCGCGGTTCTCCGCCTCCAGGCATTCGTACATGCAGAACAGGCCTTGTATCAAGTTGTTCGCCTCTTGCACCTGCAGAGCAAATCATTAGGCACCGAGCGAGAAGCAAAAGTGCTGATCCATACCGTCTGTGGCGTTGGCAACTCCGCGCGGAGCCTCAGCACATCACGTCGCAGGTCTGCATTCTCCGACAACAGCGTCGTCGCTCCATTCCGCAAGACCTGTACTTCTTTCCTCAGGTTGTTGACTTCGATTTCGAGTGAGATGCATTTGTCTTGGAGGTGGGTGATGAAATGGGTGGGTTTGGTATTGCGATTTCGAGCCATGAGGTAGAAGGGTACTGTTGGGAGCTTTTAATATCTTCTTGGACCCCAATCGATGCATGGGAGAGGTACTGCCATTCCTATACTCAGGTGAGAATTCTAGGAATGACTCATGGCGGCGGCGTTTGTGGCGTTAAACTTTGGGTACTGATATCCCCACATAACATTAGCCAGGCAGAAGATTGGGTGATAGAAGGGAATCATGGAAAGGGGTGATAAGACCAATATATTAGCCTGACTGAGCATGTTGAAGGAGACAGAAACACGAGTTCGGCAACAGGAGGAGAAAGCGACACCACTGCAAATCCAGGAACCCATCAGCTATATCTTGAGGATTTGGACAAGACATGGGAGAATAGTTGTGAACTGGTTGGAGCACCACAGACTCAATACGGTGAGCTCGGGTGCTTCCAGGCACACAGGTGAAGAAGTCCTGACTACAGTTGCCTTCCTTATAACCCATAGTGATCAGTGGAACCTCAGAGCTATGGGTTATGAGAGAGTATGTGATTAGAGGGAGGTTATTGTAGGTCAATTCTGAGGCCCTCAGAGAGGCTTATATTTCATTTAATAGGCTTACAATATATCGTACTTGTTATTTAAAAGTGAAATAGCTAGTAATCTGGCTGTCCTGAAGTGGTTTAGCCTCTTCAAGCCTCATTTTCATCCAAATGAAGCTAAAACACTTTCCAAATTCTGAGCAAATGGATCATCCATGCTCTTGATGTATTTCTGAATAGTTATGACAGCTCAAAGAGCCTCATGGTGACTAGAGTGAGGTTCCAACAGTGAATTGTCATCTGGATCAACATCTTCATTTTCATCAATGGTTTCATCTGTACTCTGCAACATCATCACTGCATCAAAGATGTCTTTGTCCATTGTCTCTTCTTTCATATTGAAATTTTCAATGGTTATGCACTGAAGCTCATCTTCAGGAACAATGTGTGCTGAGAAATTGTCTTGTAACAGCAAGATATTTCTTCTTTTCATTCAGAGCTCTATATCCTATTGCAGTATCCATTCCTGACAGAGAGAGACTGTCATCCAGGCTTTTGAATTACTGCAGTAGTAAAAGCCTAGCTGTATGCTTGACTCTTTTTGAAAGGAATGAGGTTTATGGGCTTTTTCAATAATGAAAGCTTTTTTCTTATCAGAGCTATTGGCATTTACAGTGAATGCATATGTCAAGTGAACCTTGCTTTTCTTGACATCAGAATGCTTTCTATCTGTGAGCCTATGGTCAGAAGGCATACTGCATTTCATTTTGATCAGAAATTTTTATGCAAAACCAATTTAAGTCAGCACTCATCTATGAAACAAGCCTATTTCATCCATATCACAAAGCTTGTATTCAATTAGAATTGCCTTGATATGCTCTCATTCTGCTTCCACAGTAAGATCAGCAGACTCAGCCTCACCATATCATTTGAAATTCTTCAGATTGTTCTAAGCCTTAAATCATGTTAACCACCTCCCACTCAAGTTTATTCTCTCATCCTCTGGTATCCTCTCAAATCTGCAAAAGCTTTCCACTTTTGGCATAAGACTTCATCTGTCAGCAGGAGACCATCAGCTATTGCCTTTGTGTTACAATTTTCTTTATTTTCTTTTCTTTTTCCTCAGAAATGACCCCTATCTCTGCTTAGTCAGGGTGCTTAGGCTAGCACTTAGGACTGTGGGAATGCTTAGCTCAGCAACCCAGTTGGTCCTCATCTTATCATGCTGCTGTGTGCTGTGAAGAGAGAGACAATACTCCTTTTGTTCTTCAACTGTGGCATAGCAGTAACAGCACAACAGCAAGACAACAGCCTTTGTGGAGAGCCTGGCAACAGCAGGAGTAACAGCTCTACAGCAGAACAATATCTTTTGTGAACATTTATTTATAGCATGATAACAGAACAGTATTTAAGTAGCATAGCTCTCACTGTAATACCCCAGCTTCAAGCTAAAGTTTATTCTCTACCATTCTATCTTGAGCGACTTGCAAATGCCTTGACCACACACCTCTGTTAACACATCAGTGAACTCAGTCAGTCTAACCTGAAGTGTGAGGTTCTGAACTGTTTATCATGTGTTAATAGCCACATGGAGTTTGGGCTTAACAATTAGCTCGAAGCTTCTTGCTTCCCTTTCTCAGGCCCAACCATGCTGAGAAACTGAATGCTCTCTGCCTTAAATCCATCTGACCCGAACTTTACTCATGAGTTCTTTGAACTCTTGGCTTCTATCATTGGAATCTTGATCGGTTTATTGATGATCATACAGCTGTACCATGGATGCCAATCCATTACCGCCTGGGCCATTTGACACTACTAAGAATTCCAGCATATCCATACAATCCTTCGAAATGTCACATCAGACCTCTCCCTCCATGACATCCCTGCCTCTGTCTGAAACTCCATCCAACACCCCAAAGAAACAGAAGATGAGCCTGGGAGCTTGACTGAAAGGTGTTTTAGGGAAGAGAAGGAGCAGCAGCAGCAATACGAGTACCCCCCAAGACCCCTGTTGGCAATCATCCAAGACCCTGGAAACCCTTGGGCTACAGAGTTTTGACAAACCCGACCCAACACCCCCATTCCCTCCCCTGAGCGCAGCGTCACTGCGTCAAGAACAACCATCGCCCAGTCTGGAATTGGGCGCTGGGCTAGAGACTCCCTGGATGCCATTCAGATGGCTCCAGGCATCAGAAGTACCACAAGGAGCAGTGGAAGGGGAACAAGAGTCAGTAGTCCCGACCTCTTCTTTGATGACACCAACAGAGATGAGGTCTGATACTGGCAAGCAGCATCAAGAGCAGCCAGTAGACTGGAACAAGAATGAGGAGGAGCCTCATGCCTATCAAGGTGTGATGCAGTGGTATCAAACCCAATATGGCCAACCTCCTGATCCCTCACTCAGTTCCTCAAGGGACAAACAGAGGCTGACCGCCAGGCCAGCTGTCAGCATACCCCTGATGGGCAGTACCTCCTGAACTGATATAACAATACCCTGGTCAGCACTGCCGACTCTCCGTTCTGGGAATGAGCCACTCCTGCCAGTGAGCCTGACCCTTGGACCAGGCCAACTGCCAGAGTTGTCCATGCTGATGACTACCACTGTAGGGAGCCAGCACTCCTCAACAATGACTGCCCATTATCATATGAGACAGACACCATTGCTGAAACTGATGATATCCCCATCCGGGGAGATAGGACACCATCAAACCAAGGAACAATCGGGGGTGATGATGAGCATATTGACCCCACTGGAGACCTTAAAAGGGTCCTCGATGGGCCAATCACCACCCTCTTCCTTCACTCCCGGTTCTATAGAAACTTCTGCTCATATTATAGAGCAGTGGTGCTGCCAGCAGAAGGAGAAGAGGAGCAGCCCAACTGGGAGCCTACTCCTCCTCGACCCAGACCTGACAACACCGAGTCAAGTACTCAGCCCCAGCCCACTCGCTCTGAAAACCTTCAGCCAGCAAGACAGTTCCCTCCTCAAGGGGACCACTGACAAGGGAGCCAAAGGGGATGATGAGGCTGAGGAGGAGGATCAAGGCAGCCAAATGGTGGACCCCATCCTTGAGTGGAGAAGTATTGTCAGCATAACCACATGCCAAGAATAGGAGAAGAGATGACAAGAATGAGAGGCATGAGAAGAAGAATTTATTTGGCTATACCAGGAGCAGATAGCCGAATTATGGAAGGATGATTGCTGGCTATGATTGTCCCTAGGGCGAAGGTATACCACTGCTGATCCCATCAAGCAGGAGGAGATTTTACAGTATGCTGCAACTGAGCATACTATTTTTAATTTCAATTGGCAGTTTTTACATTATCAGATGATGGTGATGCTACCATATTGATCAAGGTTCAGCAAATGGGAGGCACTGATGCCATGGACCCCAAGCATGATGCTGCCCAAGATGGCAGACATAGCATCCTCAATTCGAATGGCGACATCAAGATATTCGCTCACCATATCAGCCATCCACAGCATGGCATCTTGGCTAACCCAGTCCTATGGACAGCTGAGAACTTATCACCCAAATCTCTGGACTAGCACAGGAAGCTGGCTACTGAAAGGACAGCCACCACCCAATGAAGCCACTGGATCGGTTCCTACCAATTCAAAGACGGATGACCCCAAAGCGACAGCACAGGGGTGAACCATCAAAGATGGGCGAATTATCTGAAAGAAAGGGCTGCCAACTCCAAGAAGTCCTGTCGCCAATGATGAGTCCCTACACTCCTTTCCAGGGCCCCCGATGGATTGGGCTGGTTTCTCTGGGGGGAAACCCCCGAATCTGATGTCGCCTCTTGATCTGAAGACGCATATATTGAATGTCAGACTGACACTAGGGTGGGAGCCCCTCCCTTTCAAAGGGGCTTCAGATGATATTGACTGCTTCCTTATGGACTGTGACCAATACTTCCAGGTGTTTGCCTCATACTTCCTTCATGACATGTATAAGGTAAACTACGCCACCACCTACTTTGAAGACAAGGCAAAAGTATGGTGGGTACTACTGGCCCTGAACTTCTGGTCGACTACCTGACAACACCACTGGTATCCCATCTGAGCAGTACTAAAGCAGATGATCTGCGACAAGTTCATGGACCCTGTGGTACGAGAAGTCCACAGGTTGAAGATGAAAGAATACAAGATGGGCAACAAGACAGTGCTGGACTATTTTGACAAATTAGAGTGACTCGGGAAACTCACTGGAATCTGAGAAGATGTAGCTGACTCAAGATGAATGGTCGAGTATATGAAGTGGGGAGTGCTGCCTCATTATCTAAAGACCATTTTAGATCTCAGCCATAGTGTTCCAGTCGGCTATAATGACTGGAAGGCATGAATCGTCCTAATGTGGCAGGAGCGACAATGACAGAAGGCGGAGGCAGCAAACCTATGGGACCAGCACAGGTACCAGGGACAGGGCTTGAAGCCCTTAACCTCTCATGCGACCACATCTGTCAGGCTCAGTGGCTCAGCTGTAACTTCCCAGAATGATGGGAAGCAAACTGGTAAGGGCCCAAGTACCAGAACAGGTAAGCAGATTGATGTGGATCACTTCAAGAAGGAGGAGAAGTGCTTCAATTATGGCTGACTGGGCCACATGGCATGAAATTGCCCAGAGAAGAAGAACAAGTGCACACAGGAGGATATCAGGGCATAAATCACTGAATTAACAAAGGAAGAACAGGACCTCAGAGATGATGATAAACCTGAGGAGGTAAAAGATAGGGCTGAGCAGTAGGCGATTTGACTGCCTTGGCCAAGGACAAGAGTAATGGGTCACATTCTGCTGGACAGACTGACATTTTATCTTCTGTAGAACCATCTCCCATGACTAAATTATGCATGCATTCGAATATACCTGACCCTATTACTCAGAACCCAGAATTGCCTAAGGAACCGACTTCTACAACTCAAGCGCTGATGAAGGGCCGAAGAGGGGCAGAGAGCCCCAAAGGTGTGTCATCATTAAAAGTTCATCAAACTAAAAATATAAAACAGACTCAACTGCCTTCAGGCTGAACAGGGGCAGAGGGCCTCACAACATGGCTCAAACCATTCGATACCAAATGGACTTGGCGAGCCATAAAAGATGCCAAGGATGAAGCAGTGGCAAAAGCCATGCTCAAAAATTGGGTTCACAAATCCTGAGCCAAAGAAGTAATTGATGATATGATCACTGGGATGCAAGCTGCAGAACGATGCCTAGCTTTGGAATGGCTGGATAAATTACATGGACCACAGAAATTCATCCGACAAGCCAAATCTCCAGGAAAAGACTTAATAGCCAGTGTATGGATTGAAATGCTAACATCCTGATCAACCCATGCAGTCACCACTCTAATTGACAGTGGCTGCATGGGGAGTAGCATTAACCAAGCTTTCGTCACAAAGCATCAATTGCCCACTCAGGCAACAGCGGCACCTATCCCAGTTTACAATGCAGATGGGACAAAAAACCAAGTCAGATCGATTACCAAATATGTAGAGCTTAGACTCACCATTGGCGATCATTCGGAACAGATTGATTTAGCAGTAACTAATCTCGGAACAAAAGACATATTCCTTGGTCATGACTGGCTGATCAGGCACAATCCACTGATCAATTGGAAGACCAGACGAATCATTTTCACTTGGTGTCAATGCTGGAAAATTCCATTTGAACTACCAGATGAAGATCCCAAAGATCGATGGAATGAGGAAATAGAAGACAGTGAAACCATTCTCGCTGTCGATCTCCAAAG